TAATTGTGCTGGTTACAGCATTCTTGGTTCAAGGCCCTTCTGTTTCATTGCATTATATATATCATGCCATTTTCTTCCAGCCTGTAAGGTTTCTGTTGAGAAGTCTGATGATAGCCTGATGGGTTTTCCTTTGTAGGTGACCTTTTTTTTCTCTCTGGCTGCCTTTAGTACTCTGTCCTTGTCTTTGATCTTTGACATTTTAATTATTATGTGTCTTAGTGTTGCCCTCCTTGGGTCCCTTGTTATGGGAGTTCTGTGTGCTTCCGTGGTCTGAGAAGCCATTTCCTCCCCCAGTTTGGGGAAGTTTTCAGCAATTATTTCTTCAAAGCCATTTTTTATCCCTTTTTCTCTTCTTCTTCTGGTACAGTAATAATGTGAATATTGTTCCATTTCGATTGGTCACACAGTTCTCTTAATATTCTTTCATTCCTGGATATCCTTTTATCTCTCTCTGCATCAGCTTCTCTGAGTTCCTGTTCTCTGATTTCTAGTCCATTAATGGTCTCTTGCATCTCGTCCATTCTGCTTTGAAATCCTTCCAGAGATTGTTTTATTTCTGTATTCTCCCTCCTTAGCTCTTGCTTATTTCTCTGCAAGTCCATCATCAGCTTGGGAATGACTTTTATTTTGAATTCTTTTTCAGGAAGACTGGTTAAATCTATATCCTTAGATTCCTTCTCAGGGGAGGATGTGGAGGATGTCTGGGTTAGTCTGGTCTGTATCAAATTCTTCTGCCTTTTCATGTTGATAAATGCAGTGGTATGCTGTTGACTTGTCAGTCAGCTGGGAGAACCATGACCCTTTCCACTTCCTCCTGGCCTTTCTTTCCTGGGATAATGGCAACCTCTAGCATCTTGTGTTAGGCAGTTGCATGTAGACTGTGTCTCTGTTTCTTGCCCAGTGGTTATGAAGGAAGCTCCCTTGCTGTGGGCATGGCCAGCCTCAGGTTGCTGCTCTGCTATGGTGGGGCCATGCCAGGGGTGAATGGGCTGGGGGCTGTTTATCTCTGTGAGGGGTCTCAGAGCTGTGCTGCCTCCCAGGGGGCTAGGGCACCTGGAGTTCCCCGGGATTCCCAGCCACTGGGCTAACTGTCCCAGGATGCTTCTGTCCCGCCATGGGGTCCCTGTCCTTTTAAGACTTTCAAAAAGCACTCGCTCTTCTTTGTCTCAGGGGCATTGCTGCTGGGACCCACTTGCGGGTTTTACTGTCCCATTTTGCTAGTTTCCCGCACTCCTTGCACTGTGTGTCTATGCTCCGGGTGTGGATGTCTAGGGCTGGGTGTTGAGCAGTCCTGGGCTCCCTCTCCCTCCCTGCTCTGATTCCTCTCCTCCCACCAGGAGCTGGGGTGAGGGGCACTTGGGTCCTGCAGGGCCGCAGCTTGTATCTTACCCCCTTCGCAAGGCAATGGGTTCTCGCAGGTGTAGATGTAGTCTGGCTGTTGTCCTGTATCTTCTGGTCTCTCTTTTAAGGATACTTGTATTTGTTGTATTTTCAAAAATATATATGATTTTGGGAGGAGATTCCCACTGTCCTACTCATGCCACCATCTTGGCTCCACCTCCAGAAGTAAGATTCTTAACTCACTCTTTAGCATATAGTACCTCGGACCACCTTGGGGGCTGGGCAGGTGGCCTTGTTTGGTGTGCTCACAGACCAAGATGCTGGTATCTCAGGGAGAAATCAGAGCAAGAAGTTTCTTGTGTTAGTTCTAAATATTCTGGGACCACTTAACAAGTCCACACCCCTAAGCTTTTTTTCACATTCCCAAAAATCCTCAACTGCCTATAAAACCCCCAGACAATGCACCACTATGGGCTGTCTTGTCCCTTCCTGGCCTAAGCCAGGAGCTCTGTCCTCTCACTGTATCTCTCAATAAAAGTCTCTCCCTGGCTCTCCTACCTTGAGTGTTAGCTAAGTTCATTCTTCTACTCTGCAAACATCAACCTCAGCACCAATAAGAGTGTGTATCAATGATACTTGTGTTATGCAGGAAAATAGATGAGTGGGGTGGAAAGAGAAAAAGGCCAGAATGTGCACTAAAAAGATCCAAAATTAATCAATTAAAGCTCAAAAATCCAGGAGCAACTTGGTCCCTGGTATGTTTGAATATTCCCCAGATAAGGGAGGGTACCTCAGCATAGCCCATGTCTTTATTGTGTTAATCATGCAGGCCCAGCTTATGTTTTTACCTTTACTATGCTGCTTTTTTTTCTCCTTCCTGCCCTAATTAAGTAGTTGGTAACCTAGGCAACTAATATAGCACGCAGGCCCAGCAGTAAACAGCATAGTGAAAGGCAGGAAAGATTCCATCTTAAAGGTTGTATTTTAATACTGAGGAAATTAAAAATGTAAAATTCATAACTTACTCTTTAGCAAACAGACAATAACTCAGCCCACCTTGGGGACTGGTCAGGCAGTCTTGTTTGATATGCCCCCAGACCAAGACACGGGTATTCCCAGGAGAAATCAGAGCAGGAAGTTCCTTGTGTTAATTCTGTATATTCAGGGACCAGTTAACAAGTCTGTACCCCCAACCCTTAGTCACATTCCTAAAGAATCCTTAAAAGGGGGAACCCCCAGCCTTTTAGGGCCTTCTCTCTGAGGTTGCCCACACTTTCTAAGTGCATAACCTTTTAACGTTAAACTCTCTCTTTTCAGCCTTTCAGGGGGCGCTCCTCTCTCTGAGTTCACCCACACTTTCCAAATGTGTACACTTTTAATCTTAAACTTTCTCCAACCTTTCAGGGTACCTGTCCTTGCTGAGGTTGCCTGCTGCACTTCTTGTCTCTTTAAGTAACTTTAAATAAAACTTTTACTCTGCTTCACTACTGTGTCTCTGCTCTTCAATTCTTTGTCGTGGCGGGGACAAGCACGGAGGAAAATACACAACGCCCCCCAAACACTCTTAAGTCCGGGGAGAGAAAATATCAGGGCAAAATACCTATAAAACCAAAATTGGTCAAAGGGAGAAACAGAGTTTAAGACCCGTTTGTTGCTTACAAACTGCAGTCCGGGGACTTCTGTATTTCCTGCTCCAGCAGAAGCAAAACCGGCCCCTCCCCTCACCTGTCAGGTAATTACCATTGCCCAACTATTTACACGTTCATACGGAAATGAAGTTCTCTCCACCCCTAAGTATATGCAAATACACTAACGCCATGCTTCTCTCCACCCCAATGCCTATCGATATGCAGATGCACTAAAGCCAGGCGAGATATTCTGGAAATAATACAATTTTACCTACAATGCCTCAATTAAAAAAACAAAAGAAATGATTCATCAATGGATAGGACACAATCACTGACTCTACAAGCAATAAAGAGGTTTTCCATAGGAACCAGATTTAGAATTCCTGCTTGTCCACCTAACTCAAAAAGCCCTCTTCTTTCTTTCCTGTCACCGCCCTGTATAGACTTTCCTCTGATTCCCAGCCTATCACAATGCAAGTCAAACAATGACTATCACCTCGGGCTACATGCGGTTGAAGACCAGTAAGATCATGTGTCCAAAATAGGCGTGGAATTATTTTACGTCTGAACGACCCCGTGGAGGGATACGGCCTTTTAGAACAGAACTGAGAGCACGTCAAACGATGCTATCTTCGGAGAGCAGGCTGGGCTGCAAGAAACCTGAAATTAGGTGTCCGCCGCAGTTCAAAGAGCAAAGCCCCTCCTCCCTCCGGTGGGACCTCCGCTTCCGCGCGCCCCCTGGCGTGGCGCGGCCCAATGCCCTGGTTGGTCGGAATGGGAGCGCCCCTGTCCCAGGGGGCCAAGCGCCCGGCTGACCCCGTGAGAGATGAGGGAACAGTCACTTCCGTGAGAATTCTCGGCGTCGGGGCGGGACTTCCGGCCCGTCCTCGTGGCGGCCATCTTGGCAGCGTTTCGGGGCGTCTGGCTGCAGAGCGCCTGGTGGGGCCGAGTTGAGCGAACCCTTCAGTGCAGGAGGAGGCCTGGCGACGCCGCCCGCGGGCCCCGCGCCAGGGCCGGGATCGGGACCGCCGCGCCCACGGAGCCCGATGGCGGTGCGCTGCCAGGCTCAGGTACCTGCCCGTCCCCGGGCCTCCCGCCCCCACCCACCCTCGGTCCCCGAGTGCGGGCCCTGCTCACAGTCCGGAACGTAGAGGCGCCCGTGGGCGGGGCCCGTGTCCTGAGCGCCGGCGGACGGCGCGTGGGGCCGGTTGCGGGCGGGGGGACCCGCGCGCGCGGAGGCCGGAGGTGCAGCCGAGCCGGGAGGACTCGGGAATCCGGGGAGCCTGGGTCGGCCTTCCGCCTGCAGGGAGCCCTGGGAGGCGGAGGCGCGCCGGGTCTGGCGGGCAGAGGGCTTTGTCTCCCTTCTGAGGACCCCGGAGCCATGGTTTTACGTTCCCCAAAAGCTGCTCAGAGAGAGAACAGACTGGAGTAGGGGTGGTGGGGAGGGTGAGGCACAGGGAGTCGGGTCCTCATCCAAGGGCACGGGGCTGGTAAGGGCAGCGCTGGGGCTGAGGCACAGTCGGTTTGATCGAGGCCACCAGGGTATATAGGCTGTGGTGGGGATACAGGTACACCTGATGTCACGAAACCCGGCCTTGGCTGTCCTTGTCTTCCCACGGGCTGTGATAGTTATAAAAGCACCTAGAGGACCTACACGAGGGAGGAGCGGGTGTCCCAGGCCCATACCTTGACGCCACCGGTATTGTGTCTGGTATTTGGTGTCTTGATAAACTTCACTTGTGATTTTCGCGGCTCCTGGGTGGGGAGGGGTGGGGAGGCTAGGGATGCGTCAAGCCCAGGGTCCCTGAGTCCAGGCCAAGCATTACATGGAAGTTTTCCCATTCCTGTCAGCTAATGTGAACAAGTGTGGAAAAGACCATATAAGGAACAGTTACCTGCTTGTGCAAATGCTTTGAGGTGTTACAAATTTGGAGACAGGGTGCAGCCAATCCGATCCTTTATGTTGGGAAGAGAGGCTGATGGTCAAGAAGAAAGCCTGTAATGTGGCTGTGAAAATCTGGGCACCTATTAAGGAAATAATGTGAGATTTGAACAACAGGAAGGGGTTGGTCTTACCGAATCTTTAGTAGGCTCCATCTGGCTGCAGAGAAGATACGTCGGGTTAAGGGAACAGGTAGGGAGCCCAGAAGGAAGCTACTACTGCAATCCAGATAAGTTTTGGTGGAAGAGAGTGGTGGCCATAGGGGTGGGTGGAAGGTTGGACTTTTTAAAGGGTCCCTAGGTTTTTGGGTGTATAGGTGAGGAAGAGAAAGGAACAGTCTGGGATGACCCCAGTGCTTTTGATTCCCTCAGTAGATGGGAAGGAAGCTTTATCAACTGGAATGGGGAAGTTGAATGGTAGGCTAATTTTCCTTGAGAATATCAGAACTTTTGTTTTGGTCCTGTTAAGAGTCTACGATGTTTCAGAGAACAGTGAGTGGGGACCTCAAGTGGGTAGCTGCACACGCAGGTCTGGAAATCTGGAGAGGAGGGTCTGGGACAGAGGCATCCAAAGGTGCTGTGCATCGTGTGGACCAGGGAGGTGCTGTGGCTCCCATTCAGGTGGGGCATGCGGGTCATGGTGGTAGTGCCTTAGGTGGTCAGAAGAGTGCATGATGAGGAGTGTCTTTTCTTCCTTTGCACTTGGTCAGGGTTGTGGGCACAAGACACAGGTGAAAGAGAGACGTGACAGTGGTAACCACATGGGACAGAGAATGCCTTGCCCATGACCCAGGCATCTGGGGGATGAGTGGCCTTGATGTGACAGAGGAGGCAGAAGAGTAGTTGAGACAAGATGACTCGCAGGCCAGAGCTTCTGCTATTTCACTAATGTACAGCTTCCCCAGAATTCTGTGGTGAGGTTTTGGGGTTTGGGGTGTTCAGTTGTGATGGTGTGTAGGTCTGGGTAGATGTGGTCATGTGTGAGAGTCACTGTGCCTGATAGAAACCCTCAGGGCTGGGGTTTTTAAAGGAGGTTGAATGGAGAGATGAGGATGGTGGCCACTTACCAAGGCGACAGTAAGTCCAGCACAATGGGAAGTGACCCATGGGCATCTGTAATTCGCATATGCTTCTGGGTGGCTAATATTACAACAAGGATCAGAGGTGTAGAGGAAGCCTTCACAGCAGCATTTGAGTGCTTTCCTCGAAATGCATAGCTGTGGGAGTACAGCTATGAGGACTGAAGGTGTGAGCGAGGTGCAGTCCACAGGATGATGTGCATGGCAAGAAGAAGCATGACCTGAGCGCCACAGGACCCTGGTGCTGGGGACTGAAGGGTGAAGTACATGCTCACGTTTGGTGGTGTCTTGGAGTCGCAGTCCAGAGACCCCCAAGGGAATTGATTGACAGTAGGAATAGGACCCTATAAGCCAGGACTGGAGTTGGGATACATCTCTGTGCCCACTCAGGCTGATGTTGACAAGGGCTGAACACAGTGAAGAAAGAGACCCAGGTTAGGGCGGGTGGGGATCTGTCACCCCTGGGCCTGGAATCCCTCTGAGGCGGGGAGCTCTGAAGGAGGAGTGTGGGGCAGGTGTGTGGCGAGATGCATTGTGGGACATCAGAGAACGTTCGTAGTTTCATCTGTCCGCATCCTAATAGGGCAGTGTGACCTTTGATGACGTGGCCGTGTACTTCTCCTGGGAAGAATGGAGGCTCCTTGATGGCGCCCAGAGACACCTGTACCACCATGTGATGCTGGAGAACTTTGGACTTATATCCTCACTGGGTAAGACTCAGCCTCACCAGTGACCTGAACTAGGCTCTACCATGACCCCCTTCAAACCTTGTCACCTGTGGACCACATGCACTGCTTCCCCAGTTTTGTGACTGGTTGCTGTGTTGCTAGGGCTGGCTTGTTTGCCCGTCCCTCTCCTCTCCCCTGCAGCCCCAATGCCTGCAGTACTGAACCCTGTTAGGAAAGGGTGGAGGAGCATTCGTGTTGCAGAGAGCTCTGGATTCCACCGCGCTTGCTCTCGGTCTGGGTCAGTGCGTTCAGATCCGTATCATTTCTGTATCCCAAGTTAGCTGACATTTCTTCATGCCAGGGCCCTTCCTGCAGGCATTGTGGCTACCACTTACCTGAACCATGGGCTGCCTTTCTGTGTCCTCCTAGGCAGTTTGGAGTGTTGAGCTCTGTTTTCTTTTGTGCTTTTATTCCCAGCCTTGGGAAGATAAAAGATTGTACATACTGCATTTTGCAGAGTGATGATTTGATATATATACATTATGAAGTGAACGCTATGTGTAGTTAATTAAGCATCCTCACTTTATGAACTTCTCATTATTATTTTCTTTGGTAGGAATGCTTAAGATCTACTCAGTAAATTTCAAGAATATAATATTATTAACTGCACTCAATAGGTACTATACATCCTCAGAACTTGTTTATTTATTTATTATTTTGGTATCATTAATCTACAATTACGTGAACAACATTATAGTTACTAGACTCCCCCCATCACCAGGTCCCCCCCCACATACCCCATTACAATCACTGTCCATCAGCATAGTAAGATGCTATAGAATCACTACTTGTCTTCTCTGTGTTGTACAGCTCTCCCCATGCCCCCCCCCCACATTATGTCTGCTAGTAGTAATGCCCCCCGTTTCCCCCACCCCCTTATCCTTCCCCACCCATTCTCCCCAGTCCCTTTCCCTTTGGTAACTGTTAGTCCATTCTTGGATTCTGTGAGTCTGCTGCTGTTTTGTTCCTTCAGGTTTTTTCTTATACTCCACAGGTGAGTGAAATCATTTGGTACTTGCCTTTCTCCGCTGGGCTTATTTCCCTGAGCATAATACCCTCTAGCTCCATCCATCTTGTTGCAAATGGTAGGATTTGTTTTCTTCTTATGGCTGAATAATATTCCATTGTGTATATGTACCACATCTTCTTTATCCATTTATGTACTGCTGGACATTTAGGTTGCTTCCATTTATTGGCTATCGTAAACAGTACTGTGATGAACATAGGGGTCATATGTCTCTTTCAAACTGGGCTCCTGCATTCTTAGGGTAAATTCCTAGGAGTGGAATTCTGGGGTCAAATGGTATTTCTTCTTTTTTTTTTTAGGAACCTCCATACTGCTTTCCACAATGGTTGAATTAATTTACATCCCCACCGGCAGTGTAGGAGGGTTCCCCTTTCTCCACAACCTCGCCAACATTTGTTGTCGTTCATCTCTTGAGTGGTGGCCATCCTTACTGGTGTGAGGTGATATCTCATTGTGGTTTTAATTTGCATTTCTCTGATGATTAGCGATGTGCAGCATCTTTTCAGATGCCTGTTCGCCATCTGAATTTCTTCTTTGGAGAAGTGTCTGTTCAGATACTCTGCCCATTTTTTAAAGGGTTATTTTCTTTTTGTTTGTTGAGGTACGTGAGTTCTTTATATATTTTGGATGTCAACCCTTTATCAGATCTGTCATTTATGAATATATTCTTCCATACTGTAAGATGCCTTTTTGTTCTGCTGATGGTGTCCTTTGCTGTACAGAAACTTTTTAGTTTGATGTAATTCCACTTGTTGATTTTTTTTTGTTTCCCTTGCCCGAGGAGATGTGTCCAGGAAAAAATTCCTCATCCTTATATTCAAGAGATTTTTGCCTATGTTTTCTTCTAAGTGTTTTATGGTGTTGTGACTTACATTCAGGTCTTTAATCCATTTTAGGTTTACTTTGTGTACAGGGTTAAACAATAATCAAGTTTCATTCTCTTGTATGAAGCTGTCCAGTTTTGCCAACACCAGTTGTTGAAGAAGCTGTTATTTCGCCATTGTATTCTCATGGCTCCTTTATCATATATTAATTGGCCATATATGCTTGGATTTATATTTGGGCTATCTACTCTTTGCCATTGATCTATGGGTCTGTTCTTGTGCCATTATGAAATTATTTTGATTACTGTGGCTTTTATAGGAGAGCTTTAAGTTGGGGAGCATAATCCCCCCTGCTTTATTCTTCCTTTCCATGATTGCTTTGGCTATTCAGTGTGTTTCATGGTTCCATACGGATTTAGAACTATTTGTTGAAGAATGCTGTTGGTATTTTCATAAGGATTGCATTGAATCTGTAGATTGTTTTAGGCAGGATTGCCATTGTAACCATAATTAATTCTTCCTATCCCTGAGCACAGGATGTATTTCCATTTGTTGGTGTCTTCTTTTATTTCTGTCATGTGTGTCTTATAGTTTTAAGAGTATAGGTGTTCCACTTCCTTGATTAGGTTTGTTCCTTAGTATTTTATTCTTTTTGATGCAATTGTAAGTTTTAGTTCTAGTAGTTTCTTGGTGGATTCTTCAGGGTTTTCTAAGTATAATCTCATGTTGTCTACAAATAGAGTTTAACTTCTTTACCAACTTGGATGCCTTTTATCTCTTTGTGTTGCCTGATTTCTGTGGCTAGGACCTCTAGTACTAAGTTGAGTAAAAGTGTGTGTGGGCATCCTTGTCTTTTTCCCATTCTTAGATGAAAGATTTTCAGCTTTTTGCTATTAAATATGATGTTGGCTGTGGGTTTGTTATATATGGCTTCTGTTATGTTGCGGTACTTTCCCTCTATGCCCATTTTGTTTTTATCATGAATGGGTGTTGAATTTTGTCAAATCGTTTTTCAGCATCTATTGAGATCATCCACGTGGTTTTTATCCTTTTTGTTAATGTGGTGTATGACACTGACTGATTTATGAATATTGTACCATCCTTGCATCCTTGGAATAAATCCCACTTGGTCATGATGGATGATCTTTTTGATATATTTTTGGATTCAGTTTGGTAATTTTTTGAGGACTTTTTAATCTATGTTCATCAGGTATATTGGTCTTTAATTTTCTATTTTTGTGGTGTCTTTTTCTCATTTTGGTATTAGAGTGATGCTGGCCTCATAGAATTATTTTGAAAGTATTCCCTTCTGTTTGAAATGCTTTAAGGAGGATGTATTAGCTCTACTTTAAATGCGTGGTGGAATTTGGCATTGAAGCTGTCTGGTCGTGGGTTTTTGTTTTTGGGGAGTTGATTACCAATTTGATTTTCATTGCTGATAATTGGTCTGTTCAGGTTTTATGTTTCTTCCTGGGTCAGTCTTGGAAATTTGTGTTTTTCTATAATGTCCATTTCTTCTAGGTTGTCAAATTTATTGACATAATTTTTCATAGTACTGTCTAATAATTCTTTCTATTTCTGCAGTATCTGTTGTGATTACTGCTTCATTTTCTGTTCTCTTTATGTGTGTGTACCCTTTTTTAAAAAAATTTTATTTGGTATCATTAATCTACAATTACATGAAGGACATTATGTTTACTAGGCTCCCCCCTCACCAAGTCCCCCCCACAACCCCGTTCACAGTCACTGTCCATCAACATAGTAAGATGCTGTAAAATCACTACTTGTCTTCTCTGTGTTGCACAGCCCTCCCTGTGCCCCTCCCACACACTATACATGCTAATCGTAAGGCCCCCTTTCTTTTTTTCCCACCCTTATCCCTCCCTTCTCACCCATCCTTCCCAGTCCCTTTCCCTTTGGTAGCTATTAGTCCATTCTTGGGTTCTGTGCTTCTGCTGCTGTTTTGTTTCTTCAGTTTTCTTTTGTTTTTATACTCCACATATGAGTGAAATCATTTGGTACTTCTCTTTTGCCGCCTGGCTTATTTCACTGAGCATAATACCCTCTAGCTCCATCCATGTTGTTGCGAATGGTAGGATTTGTTTTTTCTCGTGGCTGAGTAATATTCCATTGTGTATATGTACCACATCTTCTTTATCCACTCATCTACTGATGGACACTTAGGTTGCTTCCATTTCTTGGCTATTGTAAATAGTGCTGCGATAAACATAGGGGTGCATCTGTCTTTTTCAAACTGGAGTGCTGCATTCTTGGGGTAAATTCTGAGAAGTGGAATTCCTGGGTCAAATGGTATTTCTATTTTGAGCATTTTGAGGAACCTTTATACTGCTTTCCACAATGGTTGAACTAATTTACATTCCCACCAGCAGTGTAGGAAGGTTCCCCTTTATCCACAACCTCACCAACATTTGTTGTTGTTTGTCTTTTGGATGGTAGCCATCATTACTGGTGTGAGATGATATCTCATTGTGGTTTTAATTTGCATTTCTCTGATGACAAGCGATGTGGAGCATCTTT